TTCCTCTCCACCTATCCTCTCCTCTATCCCTCTTCTATCCGCCTCCCACTCTCTCCCTATTTATTTCAAAACCCCCTTCCCCTCCCCCTTTTCTGATGAAGGGTCTAGGCCCGAAACGTCAGCCTCTCTGCTCCTATGATGCTGCTTGGCCTGCTGTGTTCATCCAGCCCTGCACCTTGTTGTCTCGGATTCTCCAGCATCTGCAGTTCCTACTATCTCAGCACAAATTGTATTTCGCTTCATTCTTTGATCAAATTATTTCAGCTCCTTATCGGAAAGGGGAATATCAATTGACTTTATCTTCACTTTTCTATTTCAGTTGAGGATTTTCAGTTCAATAACCAAGAGATGCTCTCCACATAATTTCGCTGACTTTTTTCAGTACTGTACCTTTTATAGAGGAAGGAAATACTGCCAGGATTTCTGTCTGACTGAGATCTACCCCTGAGTTTACTCAGTGTAAAAACAAAGGGATTGCAGTCTCATTCAAACCTACAGCTGATTGCTGCTCATCACAATGCAGAGTTTTCACAAAGATGTCAAATTCAATGGATGCCTGTTATTTCAAAATTTGGATGTCAATTATTTTAAACTTTCAAAGTCATGTTGAATAATGTCAATTCACAGTGGAACTTAGAGCAGCCGAGGGAATAAAAAGGGGGTTCGCTTGAAAAATAAATAAGACTGTCCAACATAGTTCACATGATAAGTGGGCGATTATTTTAAACTGCTGTATCTGACCCAGTAATTCACCTGAAATTCAAAAGAAAATGATATGGTATGAAAAGCAACTAACTGACAATTTCAGTCATTCTGAACTCAATGGCCCAATCCTCGAGTAATATTTTTATTCAGATATGTAATTACTTCCATGTGTTCTCAGTTGCTCAGCATTGAAATGACTATTTCATTGATGTAAAATGTCCGTTTGAAGTTCAAAGTTTAATTTAGAAAAGTCAGTTCACTATCATCATGAAGATAAGTAGTACGCTACTCAATTTAAGAACAAAATCTATTAATTTTACTCAGAAATATGAGAATATATTCACTGTTGGACTGTTACATTCACCGTGGGATGTATTAAGTTTATTAAGTTTATCAAGAGTCATAGAGCTGTCCAGCACAGAAACAAACCCTTTTGCCCAACTCGTCCATGCTGAGCAGATATCCTAAATAAATCTAATCCCATTTGCCAGCATTTGGCCCATATCCCTCTAACCCCTTCCTATTCATATACCCATCCAGATGACTTTTAAATGTTGTAATTGTACCAGCCTTCACCACTTCCTCTGGTAACTCATTCCATACACGCACCACCCACTGTGTGAAAACATTGCCCCCTAGGTCCCTTTTAAATCTTTCCCCCCTCACCTTAAACCTATGCCCTTCTAGTTTCGGACTCCCCTACCGCAGGGAAAAGACCTTGGCTATTTACCCTATTCATGCCCCTCATGATTTTATAAGCCTCTATAAGATCACTCCTCTGCCTCTAATGCTCCAGGGAAAATAGCTCCAGCCTATTCATCCTCTCCCTATAGCTCAAACCCTCCAAACCCGGCAACATCCTTGTAAATCTTTTCTGAATCCTTTCAACTTTCACAACATCCTTCCTATAGCAGGGAGACCAGAACAGCATGCAGTATTCCAATAGTGGCCTAACCAACGTCCTGCACAGCCGCAACATGATCTCCCAACTCCTATACTTAATGCAGTGACCAATAAAGGCAAGCGTTCCAAATGCCTTCTTCACTGCTGTCTACCTGCAATTCCACTTGCAAGGAACTATGAACCTGCACTCCAAGGTCTCTGTTCAGCAACACTCCCCTGGACTTTGCCATTAAGTGTGTAAGTCCTCTTAATAAGTTATTTGCTTTTCCTTTCACTCTATTTATGATGCATCCTTTGAAATATCTCCACAGAGGCCAGTATCCAGTCATGAAGTCACCCCTTATTTACACATGAGCAGCCCTTGACTTTAGTACTGCCTCATTCAGAGCCAGCTATCAGAGTGACCAGAATCTCTGACACTCTTGTTTGTATCTGTCAGCCAGGGCTCCCTGATTGGACCAGGTTAACGGCCCCAATCAGGGAATTCATATTCTATGAGGTCCACCTGGCTGAACCTGTTCCAATCCTTACATCCTGTACCATGTATCCCTCCTGCTAAAGTGTGTTGCAATCCTTTGCTAGGACTTGTGACTGGGAGTATGTGAGACCAATCCAGGAAAACCTGTGCTCTTATTCTGCCTTTACCCCCAGAGGGAATTCCCTCGATGCGGCGGTTACCTGCTGTTTTCAGTTAAATTGAGCCAGCATCGGGTTGCTGCATGCTTTTCCAGTGTTAGATGATGAGTGCAGGGAGAATGGGTCAGAATGGGTCTTTCGAAACAGTTGGTTCAAGTGACGCTGGTTCGAATAAGGTGTAGGTTCTTGGTTCACTGTCTGACTGGGAGTTCCCCCAGCTGTAGGGGAAACTGAAATGACTCAATTCAGGAAGGACAGGGAATGTTTTCTCTCAAATGTTTGCCTTAAACACTAAACGATTTTAGCAATAGTCACATTTCAAACAATTTAGCAGAAATGCTAGTTCACTCGTTCCATTTGAATTTCTGCCCTGTGTTATCTCTCCTAATGCAAAACGCATTCTCGCGTTGAGAAATTGAAAGAGAAACTTACACTGTGTTAGCATTCCACCAGTGTGGGTTCTCCTCAGGCTCAGCTGACAAAATCCCAGAACCTGCCAATCAACAGCATTGACAAGGTCATTCCTCACAGTCATCAGAATTAATATTTCCCTAATAATTATAACAACTCTTTGTTAACTGCAAAAACAAACTATATATAAAGGCTTCCCTTGTCTTAGAAGGACACAATATCTAAGGAAATAATGGACCAGAATTTATTGTTGGTGTAACAATGATGCTGCTGGAGCTGAACATAATTTATGTGCAAATTTCACAGTAAATTAGACAGGCGTTCACAGTCAAACATAAAAATCCAGGAGCTGCTTTCTGAATTGCCAATAGCTTCCCAGAAATGCTATCTCCTTGTCAAACCTACCTTTCAAATGCAGGGAATGATATGGGGTTACTGCCTGTGTGTGGTAGATAGGAACTAAACTCACAATCAAATGGTTGGGCTTCTGTATTTCAGTTTAAATATCCTTTTAAATGAATTATGTATTTCAACTGCTGACCAAGAAAACAAACTTTGAAAAGTATGGAGTCTTACTGTTCCAAAATATTTTTTATTCATTTGTAGGATGTGGGCCAATATTTCTTGCCCATCCCTGGTTACTCATTGAGAAGGTGGGGGTGAGCTGCCTTCTTGAGCCATTGCAGTCCATGTGCTGTAGATAGACCCACAATGCCCTTAGGGAGGGAATTCCAGGATTTTGATCCAACTGGTCATGGGTTTGGAAGGTGCTGCCTAAGGATCTTTGGTGAATTTCTGCAGTGCATCTTGTAGATAGTACCCACTGCTGCTACTGAGCGTCAGTGGTGGAGGGAGTGGATGCTTTATGGATGTAGTGCCAATCAAGCAGGATACTTTGTCCTGGATGGGGTCAAGTTTCTTTAGTGTTGTTGGGGCTGCACCCATCCAGGCAAGTGGGGAGTATTCCATCACACTCCTTACTTGTGCCTTGTAGATGGTGGACAGGCTTTGAGGAGTCAGGAGATGAGTTACTCGCTGCAGTATTCCCAGCCTCTGACCTGCTGTTGTAGCCACTGTGTTAATGTGGTGAGTCCAGTTGGGCTTCTGGTTAATGATAACTCCCAGGATGTTGATAGTGGGGGATTCAGTGATGGTAACACCATTAAATGTCCAGGGGCATTGGTGTTGGTCATTGCCTGGCATTTGTGTGGCGTGAATGTTACTTGCCACTTGTCAGCCCAAGCCTGGATATTGTCCAGATCTTGTTGCATTTGAACACGGACTGCTTCAGCATCTGAGGAGTGGCAAATATTGCTGAACCTTGTGCGATCATTGGCGAACATCCCCACTTCTGACCTTATGATGGAGGGAAAGTTATTGATGAAGCAGCTGAAGATGGTTGGGCCTAGGACACTACCCTGAGGAATTCCTGCAGAGATGTTCTGGAGCTGAGATGATTGACCTCCAACAACTACGACCATCTTCCTATGAGTCAGGTATGACTCCAACCACCGGAGCATTTGCCCCCTGATACCCATTGATTCCAGTTTTGCCAGGGCTCCCTGATGCCGCGTTTGGTTGAATGCAGCCTGAATGTCAAGGACTGTCACTCTCACCTCACCCTCTGGAATTCAGCTCTTTTGTCCGTGTTTGAGCCAAGGCTGTAATGAGGTCAGGAGCTGAGTGACCCTGGTGGAACCCAAACTGGGCGTCACTGAGCAGGTTATTGCTGAGCAGGTGCTGCTCGATAGCACTGTTACTGACACGTTCCATCACTTTACTGATGGTCGAGAGGAGACTGATGGGGTGGTAATTGGCCGGGTTGGATTTGTCCTGCTTTTGATGTACAGTACACACCTGGGCAATTTTTCACATTGTCGGGTAGATGCCAGTGTTGTAACTGTACAGGAACAGCTTGGCTTGAGGAGCAGTAAGTTCTGGAGCACAAGTCTTCAGTACTATTACTGGGATGTTGTCAGGGCCTGTAGCCTTTGCAGTATCCAGCGTCTCCAACTGTTTCTTGCTATCATGTGGAATGAATTGAATTGGCTGAAGACTGGTATCTGTGATGCTGGGGACCACTGGAGGAGGTTGAGATGGATCATCCACTCAACACTTTTGGCTGAAGATTGCTGCGAAAGCTTCAGCCTTATCTTTTGCACTGATGTGCTGGGCTCTTCCATCATTGAGGATGGGGATATTTGTGGAGCCTCCTCCTCCAGTGAGTTGTTTAATTGTTCACCACCATTCACAACTGGCTGTGGCAGGACTGCAGAGCTTAGATCTGATCCATTTGTTGTAGGATCACTTAGCTCTGTCTATCACTTGTTGCTTTCGCTGTTTGGTGTGCAAGTAGTCCTGTTCGGTAGCTTCACCAGGTTGGCACTAATTTTTGGGTGTGCCTGGTGCTGCTCCTGGCATGCCCTCCTGCACTCTCCATTGAACCAGGGTTGATCCCCTGGCTTGATGGTAATGGTTGAGTGGGGGATATGCTGGGCCATGAGGTTACAGATTGTGCTGGAGTACAATTCTGCTGCTGTTAATGGCCCACAGCGCCTCATGGATGCCCAGTCTTGAGTTGCTAGATCTGTGCGAAGTCTGTCCCATTTAGCACAGTGATAGTGCCACACGACACGATGGAGGGTGTTCTCAATGTGAAGGTGGGACTTTGTCTCCACAAGGACCGTGTGATGGTCACCCTTAACGATACTGTCATGGACAGATATAAATGCAGCTGGCAGATTAGTAAGGATGAGGCCAAGTATGTTTTTTGCTGTTGCTGGTTCCCTCACCACCTGCCGCAGACCCAGTCTAGCAGCTATGTCCTTTAGGACCCAACCACCTCGATCAGTAATATTGCTGCCGAGCCACTCTTGGTGGTGGACATTGAAATCCCCTACCCAGAGTACATTTTGTGCCCTTGCAATCCTCAGTGCTTCTTCTAAGTGTTGTTCAACACGGAGGAGAACTGATTCATCAGCTGAGGGAGGATGGTATGTGGTAACAAGCAGGCAGTTTCCTTGCCCATGTTTAACCTGAAGCCATGAGACTTCATGGGGTCCGGAGTCAATGTTGAAGACTCCCAGAGCAACACTCTCCTGACTGTATCCCACTGTGCCGCCCCCTCTGCTGGGTCTGTCCTGCCGGTGGTACAGGACACACCCAGGGATGGTGATGATGGTGTCTGGGACATTGTCTGTAAGGTATGATTCTGTGAGTATGACTATGTCAGGCTGTTGCTTGACTAATCTGTGAGACAGCTCTCCCAGTTTTGGCACTAAACCCCAGAGGTTAGTGAGGAGGACTTTGCACAGTCGACAGGGCTGTTTCTGGCGTTGTCTTTTCCGGTGCCTAGGTCGATGCCAGCTGATCCGTCCAGTTTCATTTCTTTGAGACTTTGTAGCAATTGGTACAACTGAGTGGCTTGCTGGGTCATTTCAGAGGGCAATTGAGAGTCAACCACATTGCTGTGGGTTTGGAGTCACATGTAGGTCAGACCGGGCGAGGGTGGCAGATTTTCCTCCCTGAAGCATTAGTGAACCAGATGGTTTTTCTGACAATCAGCAAGGGTTTCATGGTCACCATTAGATACTTAATTCCAGATTTTCTTTTAATTGAATTGAGATTCCGCCATCTACCATGGCAAGATTCGACCTGGGTCCCCACACATTAGCTGAGTTTCTGGATTAATAGTCTAATGATAATATCACTGGGCCATCACTTCCCCGGGCTTCTCCAAAGTTACATTGTTGGAGATTGTTTTGAAAAGGACGAACATTTTAAAAACAGTTTCTTTCTGTATATTTTTGTTTCTCTTCCTTCATCTCTGTGATTTGACTGACTTTATGATCTAACTGCACATACACTGCTTTATCCATCAATAGCAGCTCCTCAATCTGAGTGAGCTGTTCGATATTGTCATTACACAGATCCTAGTGACTGTAACTTGCTGTGCCAAAGCTCTCGTGTATTTACCAGGCTGCTGTGAACCGAGCGGAAGCCAGGAAATGTTGACTCATCAGCTGCTGTAAATTCAGAAACTGGATAATGTTGTTACCTTTCTGGGTTAGTGGCCACTCAGCTGAGCTCATTAGCCGAGGTGAGGTCCTGTATCTTGCATCACAGCTTTCTTTATTATAACAATACCAGTCACCTACATTCATTCACAAAAGGAAATGAATTTAATTAATGATGCTACACTCCTCCCTCATGCCAAATTAACCAAAGTTTTAGTTGATAAAAATATGATTTTAAAAAATATTTTAACATGTTTTCCAATACTCAAATTCAGTCCTGCCAGATAACTCTTTATATAATATTCTTATTTTGTTGAAATGGAAAAGTTTTACTTAAAATTTAATTTAAAAATGAGCCCTAGTTTTTTACCACTTGTTTTGCTACAACCTTACATAATTCAGCATACCAACTTAAAGTACAGACAAATCTCGTTTTAACTAAAAAAAAATTTTCTTTCCACCAATGACTTCTCTTAATGAAATATTATATTCTCAACTTACAATGACATATCTGGCTGTGAAACTGATGCAAACAGTTTTGACAACTTTTGATCACAGTCATGAGAAATGAGAATAGCCATGGGAAATGCAGGGTTTCAGGGGTATGATGTGGGGTTGGAACTGGGTGGAATGCTCTTTGGAGAGTCAGTGTGGACTTGTTGGGCCAAATGGCCTGTTTCCACACTGTAGGGATTCTATGAGTAATGTCCTATCTTGACCATGTTGACTTTTTCAAATGTTCTTTTATATTGGTTTCATCTGGTTGCACGTGAATTCAAGACCAACTTTCAACACTAAGTTTAGAAATGTTGTTGTTATTTTAATGTAAAAAATGCAGCAACCAAGGAGTAACAAGAGAATGGCCAGGTAATCTGTTTTTGGTGGAATTGGTTGTGAGATAAAATGTTGGTCAAAACACTGGGAGAACCTTTTCAAATACCATGCTGGGATTTCATTTTGCTTTAACCTCAGGGAGTAGTTTAACATCTCACGCAATGTACCAGAGTATTTAGAATTGTTTGTTCAGGTCAAAATTGCTGGAACACCCCCCTTGCCAACAGCACTATAGATGTCCCTTCGCCACATGAACAGCAGCTGTTCAGGAACAAATCTCACCACCACCAGGGCAGTTAGGAATGGGCAACAAATACTGATCCAGCCAGCGACACCCACATTCTCTGAAAAATGTTTAAAAGTCTGATCCTGTAACAGTGGAGCTCTGAGGGTTCACTGAAACGTCAGCATGAATGACCTGCTCAAGCCTCAAGAGCAGAACATGAAGACACAGCCCTCTGTCTCTGACACAGAGATCAAGCAGCTAGCCACGTGCTGACAGTCAGATATCATCCACGGAATTCTCCCCAGAACTTGCAATTCCACTGTACGTGAAATTACTGCAGGCAGGAAACAAATCTTTTCTATGTTTCAAAATCACTGCTGACAAATACTGGAGCAGTGCAAGTCTGTCATAGAATCCCTACAGTGTGGAAGCAGGCCTTTCGGCCCATCGAGTCTGCACCAACCTTCCACAGACACGGGGAGAACGTGCAAACTCCACACAGTCAGTCACCCGAGGCTGGGATCGAACCCAGCTCCCTGGAACAGTGAGGCTGCAGCGCTAACCACTGAGACACTGTGCTGCCCTAACCTGGTAACAAGCAGATTAAAATTGTAATCAACACTGAATCAGAGCTCCACTCCACTGATTCTCCCACTGACTCATCTATGCCAGTCACACAGAAGGCAGTATCCAGCTTTAAGAAATGCTGAGTTCGCAAACTCATAACCTTGAGGTAGCTGTCCAGGTGGAAATCCCATGGGATCAGGTGAGATTTACAACAATATTATTAATCGGCTTCAATGTACAATGGAATCAGGCAGGAAGCAAAACCAACATTTCACCTGTTTCCCAACTGGCCAGGGGGATTAAAATTGCCTCCTTTCAGTGCACTATATTCTCATGGGCAGGATTACAACTGATGTTAAGTGGGTTAATGCTGCATTAAAAGGAGTGGGCATAGGAATAGTGGTAATGCATAAAGACCTTTTTTCATGCATTTCATGGATTGGAATTTCCAATGTGTTCAACTATTTACAACAAAATAATTGCATAATAATAAACTGTCTAATAATCTCATCACTTCACATTTGATTCTCCTTGCATCATCTGTGGACACAGATCGACAAGCTTATTTTCTAGTTAATGAGCCATTTTTAAATAATTCCATCAATACTTTACATAATCCATGATGGTCTATGTTGATAGAATAGCTTTCATATGAAGGGTCTACATCTATTAATTTACCACATTTCACATACCTTCTAAAAAATATTAACCATTGCTTGCTCCCCCTGGACACCCGTATGTAAAATCTGTGAATTAACAAGTCAATAAAATCATTGTAAAATCCATAATGAACAACTGATACAACCATATGTTGTGTTAATTTGCTTCCATTTATGAATGTCAGGGTGAATGTTTTAATCTTTAAGTAGACACAATCAAACTTTAGCTATGTGAATTTTTCTGCATTTTGTATATTGAAAATGAATTTTATACCCAGCTGGAGTTCCATCATTGCATGTCACTGCTGTGTTCCTCAGGAAAGTGAGTTTCATCTCATCAGGAGAAGCTGATTTTGAGCACTGGTAGAGGCTCTGAGCTGGAATCCTGGCATGAGACACTAAATTATTACTGCCGTGTTCTGAAGCAGTAAGGTTAACATGCCGTGGGTCTTCATTAATGACAGGTTGTGCTGATGTTCTATTCAGATTTGGAGTCCTTCTATTTGGGTTGGAATTCCGAGATATTGCTTTTGAGTTGGACCTGCTCTGAGCCACCACAGCTCCCAGCAAAGTAATGAAAAAGTCTGTGCCGAAGGGACGCATGGCAATCTGCACAAAAACACAGACACTTGTTAAACAATGAACTTTGTTAATTTGACAAGGAAGGTTTCAAATAATGCATACCTTTGTAGATGTGCTGAATGAATTTGTTGCAGTGGCGATGTTTGTTTAGATTCAGATGCTGTTTAAGTCTCAACACTATCCACACTCTCAGGAAGACGGTGAGTAGATAAGGACTGGACCTGAAGCCAACCTACTGCAAGGAAAAAAATATTGGATCTACTCAGATACCAAGTTGATTTTATATTGTTGCCATATGGATCAAATTTCTCTTTTGTAAATTCTGCTTTGAGCTTGGTGCCAAAAAGGTGTAGTTGACATGGATTGGACGAGAAGCTGCTTCATAGATGCACCACTGTGAAAAATGTAAATTGTGCCTTTGTACCAACAACTCCAGAACGAACAGCTGTAACCTTTTTTTTAAACTTTTCTAGATGTTTAATGAGGAAACTGTTTTGATCAAGGTACATTCTTATGTAGAATTCACTGAGTAGAATTCTCAAAAATAAATAGCAAATGGGAAGACTGCAGCAAACTTTTTTTTCTGGATTAATATGTTTACATTCTGCTCGACGGATCTGTTTTGTCCATTTCTTTAGCTAACTGGATATCTGCTTGTATTCAAACTCATTTAATGTTTAATGTTTAGAGTGGACAGCACAATTAAAGTTAGGAAAGTGAAAAGATACAAGCTTCCTGTCATGTTGCATAAATGGCATAAATTAAAAGCAATGTACTCCACAATTTTACACAGCTCCTCTGAAAGGAAAGCAATTCATTTACTAACTATAGTCAGCAGGAAAAGTTCACAAAACCAATCTCTATTTCTGCTCAGTGACGCAGTTTGAATATTCAAAAGTTTTTAGAAGTAATTGCAACATTCTCACAAGATAAATGAAATTATTAACCCAACACATTAAGCAAATTGCTGCAAAAAATTAACTGGGCATTCTATTAAAATGGAAGTTATTCATATAATCAACATTTTCACGAGCATGTTATCATTTGGCGTAGCTAAGCTTTACACAACGCAGAACAGCAGACTTCACAGCTTTACCTTTGGATTTAGTTGCAGGGTCACCTCTCCAGGGAGTCTGAAGTAAATGGTCATCATCAAAGTTTCAGTTGAACACTTTGAAGGAGAATCCTGGCTATTTGAACCTGCCCTGCATATTGCTCAGATAGCAGGAGGGTGACGTATTGATCATTAAAGCCGATCACGAGTGCAGTGCTCTAACCAAACACTCATCAATGAAATGCTGGACATTCACATTTATCAACCATACCTAGCTGAGTGCTAAGATCCATCATTGGAACCAGTCTCCCTATCACATCAAAGTTTGACAGGGTCTGTCAATGCAGGAAAGCTGAGTTTTTTAGGTGTTTATAGGGAGCGACGACATACCAAACTCTCCAATCTGTCAAACAATCATTCAATGTTGACAGATTGCTTTCGAAAATGCAGCACAATTTCTCATTGAGTGCTAACCGGGCACTAATGATCTTGAAATTTGCATTCCTTTAAAGTGAGTGAGATCTTCTATCAATCAGGATGTATTTCAGGTATTTATCTGAATGTCAGAATTGAACACTGGAAAATTAGTGAGTAACTTTGTTGAAAATTGTCCCTTTGTACTTTTTGTTCCCTGAAACTGTTTATTTCTGATTAAGAAGAGCAGCTGGGATTAAGATGTTTCACAGGTTCCTGGGAAGGCCAAGAATAGTTCATTCTGAAAATTCAGCAGAAATTTGAAATTCCATTTAGCAGGGGTAGACATTCCCTGGAGCAGATGTTATTTCGCCTCCTTCACCAATGTTTGCAGTTGGGTTATTTTGCACGATGCCATCAGAAGAGGCCAGACATTTTTCATTAAAGTTCAGTAATGTTTTGAAGTTGATGTAATTACTGATTGGATTATGTAACCACATTACCAATCATATCACCTCACACATTTTGTCATTGTAGCCAATTAACATTCCTCCCAATGAGAATACACCTTTTAATGCAGGGTATTGTTTATCAATAAACTAAATCCGAATATGGAAAGTTGTTAATAACCATTATCGCGCTGTAATTAGTTCACAGTGTAACAACTTGATCTGTTCTTATGTACAGTGAATAAGAGCTTCTGAGAGCTGGGCTTGTGAAACAGAGGGCTTTGCAGATACCATTTGATCTTTTATTTGTGTTCAGGAGTTAAACCCTGGACAATTTGAAGTGTCACTGGAAAATGTTCCCAACAGCTTTAATACATCAAATGGAGTTAATTTTAATTAACATTTTGTAAAAATTGAATTATCTGTGCTGGTCGAATACCTCCCAGGAGATGACGGGACATTGAGTTTATCTCACTTAACATAATACTGCGTTTAAGGACCAAAAGATTTGCACCTACTTTCCTAATCTCTTGTCACCTCAACTCACTTCCTTTACAACCTGAAACTAGATTTATGTGTCTCTGAAGGAACTGCTCAAGTGCTACTTTATAGCTGCGATAGTTGTTCCAAGGAATTAATATTGACTTTTGCTATATCTATATTTAAGAGATTTTGATTTTATAACACAGATGGTTAGCTCTCCAAATTCCTGCCCGGACAACACACCAGACATTATAGATATAACATTATAGGTCCAACAATATAGATCCAACGTTATAGATCAGGCATTATCGATCAGACTTGATTGGATCAGACATCATAGATCATTATAAATCAGACACCCATTACACAAACCACCAAATTCTTTTTCCATTGAAGGGAATGGAGATGTAAAAGGTGAATTTTTAAAAACAAGCTGAAATTTTATACTGAGCAGCAATTGGAAATTAATCTTATACAACAGTCTACAAAAAAACCGCAAAGTTGCTGGAAAAGCTCAGCAGGTCTGGCAGCGTCTGTGAGGGAAAAAACAGAGTTAACGTTTCGGGTCCAGTGACCCTTCCTCGGAACTGAGGTCAGGTGGCAAAACTCTTTGCCAAAACCTTGATCCCTACTTTGGCATCGAGTGCTGTAGGTGCCATCAGCCTGCAGGAGGTTGCATAAGGAAACTTTCCTGGAAGATCAGGGAGAGTGGGAATAGAAGGGTGCCAGCGGACAGCAAAGGAGAGGATGGTATCAGGGTGAAGGGAAGGGTAGAGTGCTAGTCTGCCTGTGCGCCAGGCAGAACCTGGTCAAAATATACCAGAGGACTGGGTACCAGGGAAGGAATACCATGTGGAATTCTACAGAATCCCATGGGTGGTGGCCTGATATGGGACAATTTTATCAAAGGTGTATGTCTACACCTGTCGTAATGTGGGAAAGGCCAATTGACCAATCAGCTGAGACTAGAGAATCTTTGGGAGAACCTACAGATCGACTGAGCAGCAAAGGGAGATCCCATTGCTACAAGACATTGCACCATGTGACAAGATGGATAAAGGTGTTCCCATGGGGAGATTACACAGCTCCAGCTTCAGCAAGAACATGAACAGAGGAAGCAATACAACCTGGGGAATTCTGATCCAGGAACCCACTTTACAGGGAATGTCATAGAGAGAATATCTCAATTACTCAGAATAATGCAGAGCTTTCAAATTTTTTTTTCTTCATCCATGGGATGAGGGTATCACTGGCTAGGCAGCAGTTATTGTCCATCCCTAATTGCTCAGAGGGCAGTTAAGAGCCAACCACATTGCTGTGGGTCTGGAGTCACATGTAGGCCAAAGGATGGCAGTTTCCTTCTCTAAAGGACATTAGTGAACCAGATGGGTTTTTCTGACTATTGACAATAGATTCATGATCATCATTAGACTCTTAATTTCAGATGTTTATTGAACTCAAATTCCACCATCTGCTGTGGTGGGATTTGAACCTGGGTCTCCAGAACATTATCTGGGTTTCTGGATTGATTAACAGTCCAGCGATGATACCATTAGGCCATCACCTACCCCCTCCTCCCTCATATCCTGCACCATCCACAGAGTTCAGCTGGCATGCAGCAACAAAATAAAGATTAAAACCTGCTGTGGTCCAGGGTCAGGGCCAAGACTGGGAGAGGATGGGTCTGTGTTATGTTGATAATATTAATGTGGTTTAGAGCAACTGCAAACCTGAAGACTGGACAAACACTGTTTGAACAAATGATTAGATGTTTCTAAAGAAGTCTCCTGGCCCGAAACGTCAACTTTCCTGCTCCTCTGATGTTGCCTAGCCTGCTGTGTTCCTCCAGCTCTACACCTTTTTACCTCAGACTCCAGCATCGGCAGGCCTTACTATCTTTGAACAAATGATTAGATGTCTATGCGGCTCTAGCTCAGACCTGCAGCAGGAAGTGAAGGCTTGAGACAACTGAGAGAGATGGTGTCATGGAAGTCCACAGCACGGAAAAAGGTCTTTTAACCCATCGAGTCTGTGCCAGTTAAAAGCAACCACCTTACTATTCAAAACCCATTTTCTAGCACTTGGCCTGTAGGCTAGTGTACCTTGACATTGCAAGTGTACCTCTAAATATTTCCAGAATTGCACAATATTCCGGCTGTGACCTAACCAATATTTTATACAGTTCCAGCATCACCTCCCTGCTCTTGGCTCTGTGCATTGGCTAGGAGAGATACAGTTAAATAGACATGATAGCATTGTCTGAATAATTAAATCAGTTGAGGTCAGATGTCAGGGACCAACAGGGCAAAGTGGACATAGAAAGAAGTGAAGAAAGTAAAGAAGTCACTGGTTGTGCTGAAGATAGATGAGAGTTGATGGGCTGAAAGGTCTCTTCTGTACTGCATGAATCTCTGAAGATGTTCACCTGACAGGCCCAGCTCACCTGAGATGGTAGAGGCAGATTGAGGTGACAATGACCAGGGAGCTCTGTGTGTGTCTATTTACAGCAGTGCAAGGAAGCTGAAACATCAGGCACAGGCACTACCTTAAAACTCAAAGTCTGCTTCTGACAACAGATTAGCAATCAGCAAGCTCACGGAATTATTTAGTTTCAAAGAAATCCTCAGAACAATAGCAGCCTGAAGTGGTGAGAAATGGTGGGGGACCAGAGGGTTGGGATTTGTTTAAGAACCAGCACCAGATGATTAAAACGCTAACAAGCAGAGAGAAAACTGATTGTGAAAATAAATTGGCAAGAAACATAAAAATAAACAAACAAACAAACAAGCAAGAGCTCCTGTAGGTATTCAACAGAAAAAGAGCAGTTAAAGTGTGGGTCTGGGGATTTGATAACGGGGAACAGGGAAATGACAGATAATTTAAACCAATATTTTGCATTGGTCTTCAAGATGGAGAACACTATAAACTTCCTGAAGATATCAGATAAAGATGGTGCTAATGGGAGGAAAGTTTTTGTAACAGCCCCTATCATGAGAGATAAAGTATTTGACAAACTTTCCACTAAATGCAGACAAGTCACCAAGACCTGACAACCTGTATTCAAAAGGTTTAAAGGATGTAGCTACAGAGATAATGGAAGCATGGGTCAAAATATTCCTGAAATCACTGGGTTCCAGTTAGGCCTTTATTCATGAGAGTTTAGAAGAATGAGGGGTGAGCTTATTAAAATGGACAAGATTTTGAGGGGGTCTGACTGGGTAGATGTGGAGAAGATGTTTCTAATATTGAGGAATCTTGAACTGGAGGACATAGTTAATAGAGAATACAAGGAATTCTCTATCCCAGAGAATTGTGGAGGTTAGATGACTAGAAGTATTTGAAGAGGTGGTAAATAGAATTTGGAAATATAAAAAGTTCAGAGCTATGAGGGGCTGGTATAAAAGGGGAGTTGAAGTCTGGGGTAAGCCATGATATTATAGAATGTTGGAGTAGGTTTGAGAGGCTGAATGGCCTACTCCTGCTCCTATCTCTTTTGCTTTTATATTCTTATAGAGGGCAGCAGTGGTCAGGGATCACTCTCCTGACTTTACCAGTACCACAGGAAGCCCCTACTGTCATCATTGATAAAAGCAAATGTCTGCACCCCACTCAGTCCTTGTATATACCCAAAGGTGGGAGTGGAGAATGAGGAAGGGATCTGAGCTCCAATAGGACCACCATCAATGGACGTTACATTATTCAGGTGATCCTAATCAAGAAAGAGCAATGGAGACAACCTAATGCAGGTGG